TTCGCTGGTTTATTTTTCAACTTTCAATTGTTGTGTGATGGTAAGTGTTATTGGCATTTTTTGTCATGTTTCATAGGCTGAATTATAATTCGGTCCTAGCATTTGGGTATTTGCTTTTATGAATTTGTTTGGTTTGAGTCTAACATTGTCGTTTGCACTCTTAAGTTTTTGTTTATGAAGCTTTTATCTACCTTGAACGTAACATTAAATTGTTTGAATTTATGTACATTTTGAGTCTAACATTTTTGTTTGAATGTACCAGTTTTTTGCAGGGTTAAATTACTAATAATTATTTTAGTTTTATGATCCTTTATTATGATAAAACTAAGTACACGTTTTATTTTTGCAGGTCTCTAGCTAGGTGTCTTTCAGATGTTGCCTACTGAGATATAAAAGTGTTAAAAACCATTCCAGTTGTTTATGATATTTCTGAATTTGGATAGTTTATCATTTTGGTTTTGAGAGATGTATTTGTATTTTATGTAATTTGAATCATTATTAGGCTTATAACTGTATTTTGAAATAACTGTGTGATTTGAAGATTATCAATTTGTTTTTCATGTTATATTACGCAATATATGTAAGGGATAATCAAACTTTTATAAATCTAATAATAATTACTTTACTTTAATTTAGGCGCCTTTTATAAAGTAAAAAAATGATAACCATCAAATACAATACAAGATAAAATGATAACCAAATATTCTAAAAAAAGTATAGAAACTAAACAAATCCATGTATGTATTGTTTTGGTTTTATTTTGTTGACCTATAGATATGGACTAAAACGTTGAACTAATAGAATTCATCATTTGTAAAAGATATGTTATGAATAACACACACACATAAATGGGTCTTCAATTGAGTGATATTTGGTTGAGTGACATTGTACATATACTCTCACGTGATAAAGATGTAAAGGATCACCATCATTTTCAAAAAAAAAATGTAAAAATTGTGGATTGCTTTTGGATATTTCACTAATCAAACAAGATTTCTCAAGAGAAGAGATTAAATAAATCAATGTGTATACATATATGTGATCATAAAAACACAGGTAAATTATTGAAGAGGAATTGTTTCAATCCTACAATTGAAGTTTAGTTGATCTTCATCGGAAGTATAAAGAGATATTAGTTTTACTTTTGTCAAAGTAAAATAGCTTTATTTTAGATAATACTTTGAACAAATTTGCACAATGATACATTTTACCGGTTGGTGTGTGTATACAAAAAAAATTAATTACATATACTACTCCATATTACGGAGTATTTACATCAAATAATAAAGGATGTATAAAACCAGTAGTATAATTATTTACATGAATTTATTGAATGTTAGGGGAAGAGCATATATGTCATATACGGAGTAATATTTAAAAAAAACGCTTTATTGAAGATAATACTTTGGGTCAAAAAGTAAACTATCACGATTCTTAAAAATTCAGTTGTTATTTTTATTGAACTTCACTAAAATAATTACATAAATGGTTCAAATATCACAATTATCAATGTTGCCGTTTGATGTGTCTATACTATTATCTAGAAAAACATCTATTGGTCACAATAGTAGTTTTTTGTGATATTAATAAAAGGAAAAGTAAAAATAATTTACCTGTTTAGGTCTACGAGGTATGTGCTTAATGGCTGAAATGTAGTTTTAATTAATATCCCGTGCATCGCACGGGTACTATACTAGTAATAATAAAAATAGTAATAGTAATGATAATTAAATAATCATGCATTTTTAAAGTATAAGAGATCATGCAGCCACCACTTGTTACTTTTTATTGGAGTTTTGAATTGAGAAATGTTGGTTTGTTTTACAAAAAATGTCTCAAATAAAAATACAAAATAACACTCGTAATACATGTAATAGTGGTATTAATGACATTAATAAGAAAAATGATACTAAAATTATAAAAATTACTTTGCAATAAAATAAAATATTTTTCCTTGATGTACGTTCTATAAATGTATATAAATTGATCAAATAAAAAACATCCTAAAAAAGATTTGATGCCAAAATACAAGACATACATCCAAATGTTACTTCCAATAAAAAACATCCAAATGTTACTTTGGAATGATACCCAATCACAATTCATAATAACTCTAATATTTTATGAGATTCTATTAAGGAATAATCCAATTCAATTGATTCAATCCCAAGTTAAAAAAAAGATCATATCATATTGTGTCAAATTAGACTAACCATGACCAAATCAAATTACACCAATGTGATTAGATAATAATAACATACACTTAATATCAAATGAAACAAGCACCAAACAAAAACATATTAAAAACGGATCAGAGTAGATAGACTAAATAAGATTTAAACAAACCAAATCATATTAGTTGTTATCATGTTAAAATAATCAGGCCGTAGGACCACAAATACAAGGTGGCATGCCATACTTAGGGACGGATCCAGATTTTGAGTCGGGGGGGGGGGGGGGGGGGGGTATTTTTTGTTAGCGTAGGGACGAATTTTTTTCACTAATGTAGCGGGTGAATTTGTTTGCTCTACTACGACTACTTTTATTTAAAAAAATCCACTAATGCATACACAACGACATCTAATTTAAATCTATTACATTCTAAATTTAGACAATGAAAAATAACTTTGATGTTATAATTGAAGTGCTTTAGGAAAAAGTATTGGTACATTAAACTGTAAGAAATGAGAAATAAAGGAAAATTAATTGGAAATAAAAAATGATATATACTTTTTTCTAAAATTATTTGAAGGTAAAGAGTTTAAAATATACATACCCACCAATACTTCTGTCTTGTTTAACCACATTAATCTTAGCGGAATAAAGAATTGATTTTTGAATTGCATTTTTTGTCTACCAATTCAAGGAAGGTGTTCGTGAGTCACGAGCAGTTTTCTTAATATTACAGTAGTATGCATGATATTATTTATTTTTAGAATAATATTATATTGCTAATTCACATAGGTGGTGCATATTATATTTGTATTATTGCTAAAATAAGTTAAAATTTATTATTTGTGCAATAAATTGTTTTTAAAAAGTGAATGAATTGTGTAATAATTTAATGTCAACAAACATTTATATTTAAGATTTACTTTACATGATCTAAAAATTGTTTAACTAGTGTGTCTGGTATTTAGTATAGTTTGATATTTTAAAAAATAGATTACTAATTATGTAATAAAGATAATTAAACATTACAAAATCAGGAATTTTTATATAATAAGTATCATATGTTTTAAACAATGAATTGTTATATTTATTATTTATTTAAGTAATGATACATTATTTTAGATGTTTCTTCTTTTAATTCTCCTTTTAAGTATTAACCTAGTATTATGTAAGGATATGTATTCATTTTGAAAACTAGAAGTTAAGGGTAGAGAATACACATTTATATCTAATTAAAGTATGAAAATTTTAAGAAAATATTACATATATGATACAAAACTTTGAAAGTCCAAGGGGACCCCCGACCCCCCCAATCCATCCCTGGTTATACTATTAACTTTTTATGTATATCACTCTTTATCATGCTAATTAGTTCAAATCAAATCATTAACGTGCATGCAGGTAAAAAAGAAATTAAATTCAAAACATCTGGACTTCATATTACAAACAAAATGGGGGTCAGATTATAAACGTTTGGATCATTCTTGACCATAATGAAATAAATACATAAGTTCAGAGCTAACTTTGAAAGACACCATACATAATTATAGTGGCGCATACCCAATTTGTTATTGTGTTCATTTAGAGTTTTTTTATTCAAAACATAAGTGTTATATATGTTTTTTTCTAATTGGAAGTAATAAGTTAATAACTATTATGCTTGGAAAATGCTTCCATTTATAGTATTAATTTTGTCATATTAAAATCAGTATCAAAAATGATACCATAATTTCAGAATAACAGTAATTTACTCATTGGAAAAACATTTTACTCTTATTTTGAAATATTACTTTATATGCACTCCAATTGTGAAAATTTTCATATCACTCATCTCGTTAATAGCATGTTTACTTATTTCGGCGCAATAAATAATTCTTTAACGCAGTGCAAGTGTATGTAAGACTTTAAATTCAAACCACAAAAAATATTACATGAATAAGAATTACAAGTAATTTTTTTTAGATCAAATAACATTTGTTTGTAAAGCAGGGAAGTGGTTTAGCGCGAAGAAAAGAATATTCTTACTTTTGATAAGAAATACGGAGTAGTGACTTTATATTAACTAAAACAAGAATAACAAATAAAGATGCGCTAGTAACTTTTTATCCAAAGTGATCATGCAGGTATACTTGTAATAATCTTATTGGTGTTTTGCCTATAAATTTATTTACTTAACAATATTATTATTGGAAAATATGTTTTTCATAAATGAGAACATCTAGAAGAGGTTAGAAGGGTAAAGGCAAGAAAAGATTCAAAAGAACATTAGTGTGTGGTAAGGAGCCTTAATCCACTTGGTTTCCCACTCTCAAATGGGCATATGGTTTGGTTTAGTCGAACCGAATTATATCAAACCTAACTAAATCGAGTTGAAATTGGATCATATGCAATTTGGTTAGAATTTGACATTATTTTTTCCAATTCATATTAAATTGAAATGAGTCAAGACCGATAAAAACTCGAACCAAACTAAAAAAATCAATAAAATCTTCACATATATATTGTTAAAATAACAAATCTAAATCAAATCAAATCGAACTAAATTGAATCGAACAAAACTGAAAAATAATATGATTTTTGTTTGGTAATAAATCTTCGAACCCATTCCCGGTTGAATCGAATCGAAAACGATAAAAACCGAAGCCGTCTCACCCCATGGACACAAATCCGAACCCGTCTCACCCCATGGACACAAATCCGAACCCAACAAAGCCTTAAATTGTCGTCGCTCCGCGCTCTTGTTTACTGATGAATCAGCAAAACAAATAGTAGTAGAAAATAATTACGGAGTAGTTAATTACGAGTATTCTTCTTTTCTATGCATAAAAAAAAGCAACCGGAAGAATATAAAAAGAAAAGAAAAGAAAGAAAACAGTTCATACACTTCATATTTATTATCTCTCTTCGACAAGTCTCTTGTCGAAAGCTTAGCCCTTCGTTACAACTCAACTTCTTGGCTTTTGATCCCACACCAAGAGGTCTGAGCTTTCTTCTCTCTCTAGCATGCAAAAGGGTAGTTTTTATTTTTGTTTTTCATGTCTGAATTGATTTTTTTTTTGGTTCAAGTGCACGGTTTAGTTGACGAGAAAGGTCAATTGATGCATACAGTTTTCAACCCATTTGTATTTTTTGCAGGCAGATCTTCCGGTTTAGTTTATCTATGCTATTTTTTCCTTCCTGCTCTTCTCTGTCTTTTGCTCTGTGCACGTAGTTCTGCTTTGTTGTTTAGCCAGCATACATTTCCTTTACGACTTTATAGCTCATTTCATTGCGTGTTTTTTATATAGATTAACTGAGAATATTGATTCCCAGATTGTCCTTCATGCTTGGGAGTTTTTATTTTCTTAATGCTGATTATTTTGGAAAGGATTGCTCAGAAGATGACTAGCACGCAGGAGTAACACATTCATCCATATAGGCAAATGGGATTGTCCTTGTTTTGAATATAAGTAATTAATAGTTCATTTTCTTGAAGTGAATGAGTCATATTATGGGAAAATAATGATGATCATATTTGAAGAAATGTGTTATCCCTCATCCCTAAATAAATAAACTTCACCTTTACTATTAATATGATGAACATAACTTTCTTTTAACCTCTAATTTAGCGTAATAAATTTTTGTCATATTCAAATTCGTTTTTTCGCTTCTATAGTAAAATTTCTAAGTGTGTAATTGATGTTAATAATATTAGTTTATGCATTATTGGGGAAGAGGTTACAGTATTTTGTTAGAATGGATGTGAATAGAATTCAAAACAGTAGCAGTTTCCCCCCCAGAAAATATCCTGCATTATGTTTAATCATATTTTATGCACTTAGGTATAGTAGAATTTGAAGGACTATGGATGGCACAAGTAAATCTACTGAAGTCTACCCATCTGAAAGATCAAACTATATTTTTGAAGATCCTGAACTGTTTCCTCGAGTTGGCACTGAATACCAGGCAGAAATCCCTCCTCTTCTGGACATGTGTGGCTATGGGCAGCTTGCAAGTGAATCATACAATATAAGCATTAAACATGACATTTCAAATTCTTACCCGATGGATTTACCTATTCCAGTCATGTGGATATATGATAAGAGTGAGGAAAAAAGAGGTGAGCTTAAGGAAGCTTGTGGTAATGGGAGTGGCTCTTTAAGATTTGAAAACAACAAGAAGGGGAGAATTACTTCAGATAGTGTCAATGGAGGGACCAAAACCGTCTCTTTGCTTGATTTTATGGAGAATGGGAAAAAATCAGACGGGATACAATGTGTTCCATCTGTGGTTTTGAGTGAAATCATTGGACAGAAAGCTCACACTGATCATTGGGATGGCTGCTATCTTGTTCCGGGCATACCTAATGAAGATTGGAATGGCATTGAATATTCTAGCTTCCTCCTTGGCTTGTATATTTTTGGGAAAAACCTTTCTGTTGTTAGTAGGCTTATAGGGAGTAAAAATATGGGAGACATATTGTCATACTATTATGGGAAGTTTTACAGATCTAGAGATTATCAGAGATGGTCTGATTGTCGCAAGGTAAAAGGGAGGCGGTGCATATATGGTCAAAGAATTTTCATGGGCTGGAGGCAGCAGGAGCTCATGTCCCGATTGTCGTCCCGTGTCTCTGAGGAATGTTATCATATGTTGGCTGAGGTACTTACTATCTGCGCTCTCTTTTGCACAAGTAACCTAAAAAAGGTTGACCTGAATTTTATGATTGAAAGTAATCAGACTCTTTTCTGCAGTTTAAAATCATAACAGTAATTCCTTAATTACTTCTCTGCTTTGTTTAATGCAGTTCAATTATATATTCAAATAAAAAATATAGTTTTAGAACCACTGGATTGTTTGGTGATACATAAATCTTATAAATGAGGACAGTGTATGAAAGTTTCATAGCTGTGAACAGTGTATTATCAGAATCAGATTCTTTTAGTTTCTAATCTGAGATAGGCCATAGTGTGAATCCAATAGATTCTTATTACAAGGCAGTGAATGTTGATGCATTTTTAGACATTAACACCAGGTAAATCTTATGTGAAAAATGTCGATGATTTTTTAAAGATTTGTATAAAACACTTCAATTGTAATTTTTAGGATCAAACTCTTATTTCCTTCTTAAAAGGAAGGGGATGAGGTTCTGGAAGTTGACAGGCATATTATCTGGTGGTCAGATCTTTTCGAAGTTAGGAAAGAGTTAAAGCTCCAGGAAATCAATAAATCCATGACCACAGCTAAAATATAAATATTTCTTGTTTTTTTTTTGTTCTGAACGTAAAAAAAACTCAATCTTTGGCTGTAATCTCTTACAGACTTTTGGTCATAATGTTACTAAATGTGCCATGTGTTGAAACGAGTTATGTGTTCATTTTCTGCAGAAAGTGAGATTGAGAATCACTAGCATTGTCAAATTATAAACCAAGACCAAAGACTAGGCACCAAAGTTATTTGATGACTGTCTAATAAATAGAGAAATGCTAAAGCAGTGATATAACTTTCATAGTTTTAGTAGTATTATAGTTTGGTAGTTTCCTATTTCCACTAGGTTTAGTTACAGTGTTTCCCTATGTAAGCATTATAATAGCCTCTAGGAATCATGGAGTTGTAAGTTCAAAGTTATATCAATGAAACCAGTAATTTATTTTAGCTTCATATTCCTACTAGGTTTTGTATTCCTACCAAGTTTAGTTACATTATTCTCTATGTAAGCATTGAAATAGCATCTAGAACTCATGCAGTTGTAAGTTGCTAGTTGCATCAAACTATCGATAAAAGTAGTAGTTTATTATTTAACAGAAAGAATAGGTCTCTCTTGACGTGTGTCTTTTAGCATATACTACTATGTGACTAGATCCTGAGGAGAGAGAGTGTTCCTTGGTCAACATGATGGTAATGTGCATTTTCATCTTAATTAGTTTATTGAATCATATTTGCTCTCCCATACTCTGGTTATTGATTCAGACTGTTTTAGATCTCTAAACTGTTTGGAGACGGAAAGATGACGCTTGAAGAGTATGTATTCTCTTTGAAAGAGAAGGTCGGCATCAACAACTTCGTTGAAGCTGTAGCCCTGGGCAAAGGAAAGAAGGATCTGACTGGAACCGCTTTGGAGTCAACAAAAGCCAATCCTTCTTTACCTGTCCGTTCTGAAGTTCCTATAGGAAAAGCATGCTCTTCTCTTACAACAACTGAAATTGTCAAATTATTGACTGGCAATTTCCGTCTAAGCAAAGCCCGATCCAACGATCTTTTCTGGGAAGCCATTTGGCCTCGTCTTTTAGCACGGGGGTGGCATTCAGAGCAGCCTAGTGATGTCGTATATGCTGGTACAAAGCAATCTTTAGTTTTTCTTGTGCCAGGTGTCAAGAAATTTTCAAGAAGATTAGAGAAAGGAATCCACTTTTTCGATTCAGTCGCTGATGTTTTGCAGAAAGTTGCCTCATCACCTTCTCTTCTTGAACTTGAAGTAAATCCAGATGACGGCAGAAGTCTGAACGGCAAATGCTCGACAGATCCTGAGATCGGAGAGGATCCAGAAGTTTCATTGAATCCTCGTCGCCATTCTTACCTCCAGCCACGGAGCTCAACTCAAAAACATAATTACATGACATTCACAGTTGTAGATACCAGCTTGTATACCGGGGAAGGAATAGTTAGAGTAAGGGAACTCAGGAGTTTGCCTATTATCCCTCTCAGTTTCACTCCATGTGGTCCTCGTAGTGAAGAGAGTAGTTCAGATAGTGTGGAAGGAGGGTCTGTTGAACCATATTATGGTCAACCAAATGATGGTTTTGATGTACTAAACAACCAACTGTCAAATGGACCGGTTTCTGTGGTTATGGAAGAAGTAAGCACTTTAGACACTCAATTGCCCAATATTTCATGTTCAAAGAACTATAAAGAAGAACAAAGCAGTTGTGATAAGAATGCCAATGTCTGCCAAGTGTCTAGCCAAACTATGAATGTTCAATCTAGCCATGAGGTGAAACTCCATGAGATGTCAAATTTATCATCTATTACCAACTACAAAGAGTCCAGCCATAATAGTCAAAGCACGGTGATAGATGAATTATTAAACCGAGGAGAAATTGGTCATTCATCATTTGTAGTTGGACTGTCTCAGAGCTCATTGTCTGACAGTTCTGCTGCGTGCGACAGTGAAAAAAGTAGTGAAAGAAATCCAATTAAGAATACTCATGGGCCAGCCCAATCAGTCGACAATTCTAGTGTCATTCCTGACAAACAGTTTATTAAAAATGTGTTGCATAAATGTGATAATATTGTACCTGGTGCGAAACCTTCTCCGTCTGAAGGTGCCGCCATTACAGCAAACCAGCCAGCCATAGCAAGCAGGAGGCAAAGCACCAGAAACAGGCCAAGTGCAAAAGTGTTGGAGGCATTTGCATATGGATTCCTCGGTACAAGCAATAAGAGAAAGGGTGGTAATGGTTCAACAGCAACAGCTTCTAGGCGGGTGCGTAGGAAGAACAAAGATTCGATTCCTTTAGAAACTGTGGCTGTAGATCATAATAATTTTGTGTGTCACATGGAAGCAAACATGGACGGCACACATAATGATAACATGGAGATGCTTGGTAAGTCAGATAACTTTGTAGTTCATGAGTTTCAGGTGATGCAGTCAGATATGTTGGCCGAATGAAAATGGAGGTAACCTTTGAGTTATTATTCGGATCTGTGAAGATATAAATTGTAAGTTTTTTGTGTTTCTTTTCATTTAAAGTTTAAATATCTGAAGCAGAAAGCATACAGGTATAGTTTTATTCTCCTCTTTAGCTGTAATAAATTTAGATTTAATTCTACTTTATTAGGGGTTTATTCAAAGAAAGATCAAGTATCAATATGTATTAGAAGAGTGTCAGCGTCATTTTTGCATTTGTCTAACTAGTATTCCACTCGTGTGTTGCCGACGCAAAAATAATTTGAATAGAAAAATTATCTGTCTTAAACCACAACTTGACAATTGTATATATACTTGGTCACCAATATCTCTAAAATGTGAATATTATCGAGGACCTAGGCCCGAAGATCTGCCACTACCGACGTGGTCAAACCCATGCTTAGTTTATAAATCGTGCTTAATTTTATATTTGTATAAAACTTTACTAAATGATGCTATAACTGCTAGATTCTCATATGAAGTTTAATACTCCGTATGCAAAAGGGAAAGTTAATAATTTTGCATGTTGTGTATGATTAGTTTTAATTTTTTTGAAGGAAAGTATGATTAGTTTTAATCAAACAGTTTTTTTTTCTGCTTTAATTAAACAGTTGTTATTGCAAAAATGGATGACGTTAAAACATTTGTGGGACTAGGAGTGGTTATTCTCGTTATGTAACAATCGGGATATAAATAAAAAAGTTATATCACTTTAAACATAATAGAGGTTTTTTTTTTATCAGAAATTGCCCTAAATAGGAGTAAAAATGTTTTGAAATTCCAAAATAAGAGTAACATGTTTTTTATTCCCTGAATAGGAGTAATCTGCCAAGTTTGGAAAAAATGCCATGTTTAAAAGCCTTGTAATGCCAAACTTGGCATAAATTTACTCCTATTCAGGGAATAAAAAACATGATACTCCTATTTTGGAATTTCAAAACGTTTTTACTCCTATTTAGAGAATTCTCTCTTTTTTTATTTGTGGGACCTAGGAGTGGTTATTCTCCTCATGTCTTGCGTAGCTTTAATTTTGCCTAAGGCATCAGTTCAATTTGCGGTTTTCTTAACTGGAGTTAATCTAGCAGTGTTTTGGAAAATACTTTTAATTGATCCTAATATGGTAAATATATTTTTAGAATTATTTTGGAAAAAACTCCAAAACTTGACCAAATTTAGTTTGCATGTGGAACAATAAATAAAAAATCACGTGGTTAAGAAATAAGTTTAATCACATACCGAGTATGTCTTACTTTGAATAGAATCAACAAACTTTTTTAGGATGACTAAATAAGTAAATGGGCAAAGTTATATGTGACAAATAGAGTATACTAGTGTAACACCCGGGGCATGCCCCGGTAGTGTCACTTTGATAAATATTAAAATGATAAACATCAATTACTAATATTCACGCCATCATGTAAAAATATATTGTTAGTAAAGAAGAATATGAGTGCTAATATTTTGTTAAGATATGAGAATGATCATTCAAAAGCATTAATGTGTATATGACTTATAGTGATTTTGAAAATAAATGAAATTATAAATGTGTTAAATCATTTCTAAATTCTAATACATGAACTATGAAGTATATTTTCTTTGTAACAAAAATATAGAGTTGTGAGAACTTTAATTTGTTAGAATCTGTTGGTAGTAAACTACTCATCAAGTGATAATTTTTACCATGCATTTGATATGGTTTATGGTCTTCTCAACGAAATGGATGCAAACCGCATAGTGTACGCTCTACTGTTTTTTGGAACTTTGCAATTTTTTATTGGTGCCTTTGAAGGGTCTAATAGAAAATCAAACCACTTTGTATAGAATGTGAGTCATGAGTCATGACTATATCATCCTTGTTAAAAACGCATTGAAAATAATGTTGGACTATATAAGTGGAAGACATGTAAATAACAAATATAGGCTATAATTTTTGTCAGTGTGGATTAGTAAAATGGTCATCCAGTCAAAAAAATAACTTCAACCTTACTTATTTAAGTTATTTTGATTATAACACAATTTAGCGGACGGAGTAAAAAAACCTGTGTTTGATAAAAAAAATATTAGGCTGATAAGCTAAAATAGGAGTTATCAAACGGACTCTTAGAGCCCGTTTGGTAGCACAAAAATTGGCTGATTTGGCTAATCCTGCTGATTAATGAAAAATTATTTTTAAAATACATTTTACTAATAAAATAAAGAAAAAATTATATGTAAAATAGCTAAAATGGTCATCTACAGTAACTTCAGCCAATACAGCCATAAAAGTAACTTCAATCTTATTTTTCTGCTTATTACACAATTCCACGCGTGAAAACGAAAGTTACGTGTTTGGTGAAAAAAGTTGTTCGATAAGCCAAAAAACAATGTTGTCAAATGACCTCTTAATGTTTAGGTGTAGAATGTGAAATTCGAATGAAGCTTAATTCAAATTTGCTATACGTGTTTGCTTATATTTTTGTATTGAACGACTTTACTCCTAACATTTAGTGATTTGATATGAAATATTAATTGCAAATCTGAATTAATTAATACTCTATTTTTCAATAGTTTTAGAAGAGTTATCTGAATTAATTAATACTCTATTTTTCAATAGTTTTATAATATGGATATAAAAAACTTGATATTAAAATTTGAGGAGTCAAATCCCTTGTAGATGTTTTCCATATAAAAGAATTCTAAACATAAATCAAGCACAATCTTAAAAATAATAATTATCTTAGAGATTTAAAAATAATTCCAATTGGCAAGTATTAGGGACCATCAAATTGAGACGGAGAGAGTAATAGTGACATTCAAATTTTAAAGTATTTTTTTAAAAGAATTAAAAGTTACCGTAGTGCATATGAATTAAATATTGTATGTAGAGCCCAAAAGTTTGGTGTTCCACTTCAAATAAATTAATCAATTGCTACCAAAGAGCCCAACACGGGTGACTATGATTACCTTTCGGTAAGAAGTTACGGAATTACGTAATAATTAATTGTTAAATATTATTGTATTGTTTAACCAATCAGAAGATGACACATAAGCATTTTATAACCCAGCTTTACTATATAAAACAATAGATATTTTATCTTTAATTTTTTGGGGTTTGATATGCTCGAATTAGAAGCGAGCCGAACTGAAGTACGGAACACTATTATGCTCAAAGTTTGGCTTGATGCCTTGATTGAGTATTCAAACTTAAATTGGCCCGTGCTTGCATTCAAAGCTCATTAAACTCAACTCATTAAATTCGAAATCCAATCCAAGTTGAATGGTTTGAAAATAGTTCAATTTGTTTATAGCTGCGATTCATTGCAACATTCTTCAATGAATAATTGATGGCATAATTACTTTTTCCACATGATCGATTCTACAGATCGAGTTCGATCTAAGTGTGTTTACGACGTGCAATAGGAGCGGCAATGCATAGCGTTGGTCTAGGGTTTGGTAACTGGCAGCGCATCCGGCGAAAGATTGGTGGTGAGGCGTGGTTGCTGGCATGGGGCAGAAGGACAGAAGATAACATGGAACACATGAACCTATATCAGCAAGTTTGTGTGGAGGTTACCTAGCAATTTTCGGTCTAGAGGCTTGAGGATTAGCGGCGTGTCTGGTGGAAGGCTTGGTGGTGCAGTGCGGTTCCTGTTGTGGGAGGGGAAGACGACACAAGGCTTGGAGGGCGATGCAGTAGGTTTGGATGCAAACCTTTTCGATGGCAAGGTAGTAGGTTGGAGTGCGGTTTGCTCCACTCATGATGAACGAGGATGTAAGGGACGAGTCATACCCCTCTCCATTTCCTTCTCTCCATTTTTTTCACTCTATCTCTTTCCTTAAAAAAATAATGGGAAAACTGTCAAATAGGTCCTCGAACTTTCATAAAAAAGTCAATTAAGTCCTTCTATAGGAGACTCTGTCCAGTCATCGCGATTTGGGGCGGTTCCCGGTGGAATTTTTTGATGAAATTTTTTGAGCATCTTATTCATCAAGTCTAGTTTACTCATACCAAATTTCAGCTAAAAATTTAATCGAGAGCGCATTCAAATTAATTCGAGAACGCAAAAATGCACAGTTATCTTCAAAAATTAATTTGAATGTGTTCCCTATTGAATTTTTAGCTGAAATTTGGTATGAGTAAACTAGACTTGGTGAATAAGATGCTCAAAAAATTTCATTAAAAAATTCCACCGGGAACTGCCCCAAATCGCGAAGACCGGACAAAACCTCCTATAGAAGGACTTAATTGACCATTTTATAAAAGTTCGAGGACCTATTTGACAGTTTTCCCAAAAATAATAAAACCCCATCTTTTATTTTCCCCTACCCCACCATTTCTCCATCCCTCTCTATATCTCTCCTACGGGAAGAATCCAGTCACTGGAGAGGAGCAAAATTCGTAAGGGACATGAAGAGTTCGGGAGACTAAGAGGGATGAGTAGATGAACAAGAAAAATGAAGTATTGATAGTCCGTCCACCCTAAACCACCGCCTTGGGGCGACCGCAGGGTCAGGGTTTGGAAGTCGATGCTTCAAGGTTGGATTTGGCCATCTGCAATTTTGTGTTCTCAAGATTTATGTTTTGCTATGTCGTACTTTTTTATTCGTATAATACTTAAGTTTCGGGTGAGTTTTGAGAACGTTGAGTGTTTTTTTTGGATGAACCGTAAATATATATATCATCCAGGCAAAAGGTTACAAAATTTAAAGCTCCCCCACCCCCTCCTGTTAGGAGAGGGTTGGAAGAAACTTTTACAATCACGCACAATTCACAAAAGGGGTTAATGCGCTAAAAGCCGCGACCCAAAACTCAAAAAATAGAGGTGCTGCAAGAAGAACGCACTCAAACCCCTATACTACTATGTGCCGTGGCTCCCAAAAAAGTTCTTTGTGTCCACATCTAGAACATGATCAAGTCATGCGGGTAGATGCTGAATAAGATCTTGTACACCACATGTTTTATTTTCGCTATAATATCTTCTTCAGTCTTCTTGCCATCCTCAAATCTGATTTCATTCCTTGCATGCCATATGTAATAAACAGTCGCACAGAAAGTAATGCGGGCTGCCTTAGCCTTCAACTTCGAGCCCTTATGAGTCTTCATAATCCATTTTATTGCACTAAGCATCGTCGTCATCTCATGCCGCAGTCCCATCCAATTCCGAATTTGTTGCCATACCCTACAAGTAAAGGGGCAACGGAAAAAAAGGTGTGGTATTGTCTCCAAACCACCCTCACATAAGTCACACCGGTTCACAATATGGAGATAACCGAGGCTATCCTGTGTGGGAAGCCGGTTTCTCAAGGCCAACCACACATATTGAGTGTTTGTTATCATGGGCGGAAGTATTTTGACTTCTAGACCGACTGTTACTTCGAATCTCTCGCATGTCCAACTCTTTTTTATGACGGATTCTTTTACGCACCTACGATGACGAAAAATGAAAAACGAGCTCCTAGCAACAGTGACCTACATCGATGACCTGCAGTGACGAGCGATTGGCAGCAACCTCCGGTGGCGGGGGTAGATCCGGGCGGCAAGGCGAGTTATGCTCAGACGAGTGGCAAGCAGCCTCAAGTGACAACCGACGAGTAGGGATGGCCTCGACCCGGTTCAGGCCCGGTTCGGGCCTGGGCCCGGCCGGGCCTCGGGTCTGTTTTGTTGGGCCCGAGCCCGAACCGGTTGCCACCGGTTCTGCGCCGGACCGGGCCGGGCCGGGCCACCCGGTTAGGTTTTTTTTTTTCCTTTTCTTTTCTCCCCCCCTCCCCCCCACCCCCCCAAACCGGTCCTAAACATCAAGCCCAACTCAATAAAGCCCAAAAAATGAAAAAAAAAAAAACAGTTTTTGGCCCGGACCCAGGCCCGACCCGGCCGGGCTGGTTCGCCAAATACAAGGCCCGAGCCCGGACCCGCCCCCCACCGGACCTAGGCCCGACCCGGACCCGGACCCGAGAACCGGGCCGGTTTCGGGCCCGCACAGTGGCGGGCCGGGCCAGTTCCGGGCCCGCACAGTGGCGGGCCGGTCCCGGGCCGGGCGGCCCGAACCGGGTCCATGACTACCAACGAGCGATGGACCAACGAGTTCCTGCCCGAAATTTAGAATATTATTTTATCTAGGTCTGTGTCTACCACTAGTTCACACGTAAGTTTGATCATATTCAGGCCCGTGCCTTGTGTTAGGCTGGAGAGGCCCAAGCCTCAGGGCCCCAAAAATTTGAAATAATTAGGGGCCCATAATTTTTTAAACATTACTATTATTATACCTATGTATTTTCCAAGGTCTTCACTATTTGGGGCGATTCCTGATGTAATTTTTTGATGATTTTTTTAGAATCTTCTTCATTGAGTCTAATTTACTCATACCAAATTTCGGTAAAAAATTTAATCAGGAAAGCAGTAAAATGAATTTTTGAAGATAACTGCGCAGTTAAACAGCACAATATATTTCCGAAAATCATTTGACAGCCTTATTGGTTGAATTTTTAGATGAAATTTGGTATGAATAAACTAGACTTAATGAAGAAGATGCTCAAAAAATTTCATCATAAAATTACACTGAAAACCATCCCAAATGGTGACGGTCGGACAAAACCTTTTATGTAAGAGGTGATGTGCACTTTTTAAGTTAGTTCGAGGGCTGATTTGTAGAGAAAATTAATAAGTTGAGGATTCCACTAAATTATGTATCTAAAACTGTTCGACGGGTTTTACTTAAGCAATTTTTTTAATACATTCAATGTAGTTTTGTGATAATGGAAGACTTTTATTGAAAGATTGAGTTTTTGTGATATTTAACCTTTCAATTTTAGTGAATTTATATGATAAACAAACACTATGTATGGGGCCCATTTTATGAAGCTCGACTCAGGCCTAAGTTTAGATAGGACCGGCACTGATCATATTTTGTCAAATATTATTTCACAAATTATTATTATTTTAAGTATAATACTCACTCCGTCACGCTAATATTGTCTCATTTTATTATATGTATAAAACCAACTTTTGTTAATAATTGTATCACCCCATTCCCCCCCAACTTTTCTCATTCAGTGAGAAAAAAGAGCGTCTAAAATGAAAATTAGGAGTGTTAATCGCTATTATTTTTACGGAAAATTTTGAGAATAGAGAAACTGACAACGAAAATATATACTTCAGAGTTAGTTTCAGTTAATTTTGATTGGTTTGTTACTTTGTTTCCATTATGGTCAATTTTAACATGTTTTGGTCATCTGATCTTTTTCCATTTCTGATTTTTTTTTTTTTGAATCTAAAGGTATAAGGCGAACTATTTGATCGTTTTTTATTTAATTAAATTCCACTCCCGGTGAAGATGTTTCCACCGTGAAGATTCTTTGGCTTTTTTTAAAGTAAACTTTTTTGTCCAATGTCTTAATAAAAATTTGACTTTTAGAGTTTTAGATACCAATATTTTGAAAATTATGTCAATTTAACAATTTAAAATGATAAAAGAGCTGAATTGATACAAAATAAATAGAATAAAGATTAAAATGAATAATTTATTAGTTGATGGACCAACATGATGAGATGGTATTAGTTTAAGGGTCATTTATATATTTTACTCTTTTCCAAAAGATATTTCAAACAATTTTTAGACATATTTATAGCAAGGATAGAATTTGTAAAATCTTATTAAAATACCCCAAATTTTTAATGGATGTGAGGTAAACATCTCAAACTTGCATATGAAATTTAAATACTTCAAACTTTATATAAAAAATTATTTTAACATTATGGTCATGTATTATTATTTTCAAAAAATAAATTTATGATGTTAATTACATAATTTAAAATAGCAAATTAAAAGCATTACAATTATATATATTGGAAGTAATATTATTTATTTCACAATAGAAGTTTAGAATATTAATCGTGTCGTCATAAATGCTAAAATATTTTAAACCATACAATTAATACCATAAATTTACATTTTGGAAAGAAATAATACTTGACTATGGTGCTAAAATAACTTTTTATATAAAATTTGAAATACTTTAATTACATATACAAATTTGGAGTATTTATCTCACACTCCTTCAAAATTTGTGATACTTTAATTGTTTTTCCCGACAAATAATTACAAAATATACACATATGCATCTCCTTGTTAGAAAAAAAAATGTCATCCACCGTTAGCATCTCCTTGTTAGCTTGCTACATGCAATATTCCTTCAAGTCTTCAACCATAATTATGTACAATAAATGTCATCCTCAGAGGCTCAGTCTGAGACTAACGGTGGACAATCATGCACCTAAAGTTTACCGATGCCCATCAGAGTGACTGCCTTTTTAAAACAAGAAAGTGGACCCTATCATTTGTTCACAATTTGTTTCAATACACCAACACAACTGCACCGCAGTAAAAGTGCACTCAAGTTTTTAAGCACTCTCTAGTTTCTAATTAACTTAATGATGTGGTAGAAATTTATTCATTTTAAAAGTCTAGATTTGAAAATGAATAAAATTATGTTAACTTTCACATAGTTTGAACGTGTCATTAAATGTTGATCTTTTTCTAACTAAAATAGTTTCGCAACTATATTTTGTATGCTTTAACATAACTGGTCATAATTGATGGAGGCTAACCCTTCACTTTAAACACCCTTATCTCACACAAGATTCTTATTCTCAAACTCCAAAGATTTTAGGAATAAAAATTCCTATTTGGGAGGGATATACAAGTTAATGTACAACTTTATACTAGTACAAAATATAAATCCTTTTATGAAATAGATTTTTATTAAAAATATGCCACAAAATAAGGGATACATGGGTTTTTTTATACTTCCATACAAAATTCACAAAACCATGTATCAGCTTTCTATAATGCTGATACTCTGCACAACTCCTCAGCAAATTTAGCGCAATCAAAATTATGAAATGGGAGCCAAATGTCCTGTGGGAGACTGGGAGGCTATATATACATATCTAATAAGCCAAAACACAAAATAGAGCCCACCCATATCACTGCTTACATGTTTATCACAGATCTTTGTCTCCTTTCAAAAATGGGATTATGTACAAGATCTTTAGCTGAAGGACGCCGGATAGGATTTGGATCCATCATGACCTATGAGTTGTGTGGATCGGTAAAATATGAGAAATAAGTCTGCCTCTCCAGACGACTCCAGTAACAATGTAATTATCCAAAAATTAAACCAACCAGATCCTTTCTAATGGGGGTATCGAAGGGATGAAATATAAAATACATTCAAATTCAGAGAAAAGTACCTTGAGTAGATTCTGAAACTGCAATGAGTGACCTGGTAGAAGAGGCATTTTTCCTTCCCTGAGGTTCAGAAAATGAAGCCCGCCGTCTGGCAGGGAAGAACCTCTGATAAGCTCATACATAGAAGCACCCAATGAAAAGATGTCAACTTTGTCAAGGTGATCATAGTTCTCATTGAGAATTTCTTGGGGCATATAGCGTGCATCACCCTCTTCAATTGGCAAGCTACTGTCAAGCAGTGTCGCACATCCAAAGTCCCCTAGCTTATAAACACCATTTTTCACATAAATGTTATCCGGTTTTACATCTAAATGGGCTACCCCTCTCTCATGCACATACTGCAGTGCCTTGGCAATCTGAAATTAAAAAAGAAAAACAAAAAAACCAGTCATGAGAGTTCGCCCCTGGAACACCCCCACTCTCTTAGATTTGACACCACATCATTAGGTAGAATATTTCATCTGCGATCACATATTTGGCTTGGCAGTGTGTATTTAAAAGATTTAAAACTATGATGCGATATCCAATCTTGAAGTAAACATGTGATACAAACTCAAAGTTTTCTTAAACACTGACCAATTTTGAGATGTTTATTAGCTTTCTCACAAATTAGATTAAGATTGAGATTATAATAAGGGACTAAATAAAGGTTGGTGAAGGATGTGCATTCCAGAAGACAACTTGCTAATATGTTCAGTAACTGTTACTATGTATTGAATAAGAAACCTTCACTTGAAATGGTTGTATATTTTGACAATGTGAAAAAGTACAGTTCCCAATTCCCATATTAATAGGGAAACTGTGATAACCTGTTTTAGTATTAAGTATAAAATAATCAAATTACCTGATACATTGCTTCTAATATTTCTCCTTCAGAGTATAACTTAGTCCTCTGGATGGATAGGCTGTGATCACAGAGTTCCATCTGTATATAAAGTTTCTCATTCTCAAACCACGAAGAGTAATAGCCAACAATGTTCTTGTGAAATCCTGTAAATAAAGAATGATAAATTATCTTCATAAGTGAACATGAACAGTAGGATAGATGTATGGTCAGCTCAATAGCTTTATAAAGCACTTGCCTAGCGCAGCAAGAACTTGAACTTCCATTAAAGCTCTTCTCCTGTGTAACCAAAACAATCAAGCATTGTAAGGTGAAGAGCCCAAATTCACATGCAAGCACAACAATCAATGAATAAAGAGAATACCTTTCTGTGTCCAAATACAATTGCTTTGTACTATGTTTCACTGCATACAAGACACCATCGATTCGCCTCAAGGCTTTAAAAACATTACTGAAATTTCCACTGCCAATTTGCTAATATACATATAAAAATGCTAGTTAGAAATCATCAAAAAAGAAAAGCACTACTGGTTGTTGTAAGACTATTGTAAATAAATACCTCAATCTCATGAAAATCTGTACGGTAGCGTGAAAGGCCATCATTGTCCAAGACCGCAGGATAAAAAGCTACAAGTTCCAAGGGTTATAAATGGAACCTCACTAAAAATGAAAGCGCTCACATTTCATAGAAAAGTATGCCTTACTGAACTATTGGTTTGCTCCCACCATGCCAAAAAATTGTTTTGTAATACAAAAGTGTATACAAATTAAGGAGTTTTATACAAAATATATACTTATATAAGTTTAATGTCAAATGCCTTTGTTTTAATCGGTCATTTTCAGAAATGAAAATATTTAATCTGGGAAAAGTTTTATTTTGGGATGGTGGGAGTATTTTAAAGATCCAATCTTTAACAAAATAAAAGAAACAATACTTTTATGCAATGAAACACCCAATACCTGCACATTTGGATCTTTGGTTTCCAAAAGGATCAATATCTTTTTCTGAAGCATCCTTGAGATATGGGTTTTGAATGCATGGCGGAGGCATTACTCTGCACCTTAAAGCTACAGCAGATTGTGAAACATAACTGTGATTCTTTGGTGGCTTTGTTGTGTTTTCTGACTTTGTCTCTTCTACCACAGAAGTATCATTTACAACATCAGGTGGTGGTTGCTCATTATAAAGTTTTGAAACAAAAGAAACTGAAAGACCATCTGCAAAATGTGCACAAAAATGTATCAAATAAGATTTATGACGAGCAAGTAGCAACACTAACATGGCAGATTGTTAAATGGAGTATTCTACTCATGACATTAATGGCGACAAGTAATACTGTGAGAGTCAAAGCAAGGAAGAATTCAACCCAAATATTTGCATCAGTAGCAAATATGTGCACAAGAAACATCCATAGCCATCTATGCATAAATTTAAAGTTGCAATAAGACCACCATTGAGCAGTTACACTGAATAGGTATAAGTATGACACTCATTTAACTTGCAAGCTGGAACATTGTCCAACTAATGGTTTTCTAGAACCGGTATTTAGTTAAACATGTCAGTTGAAGCCCAACCTGTGGTTGTTATTATGTAGCTATTTGGTTTTTCGTACATTACTCCATATGACTTGTGGCTTTCTCATCTTTTACCCAAGCTGAAATAACTAAAATGTACTCGCACATACAATAATAGTCACTAAAGTACTATTAAAAGGGCAGCCAAGAGCACAAAGCAATCTTCTTAAGGAGAATGTCTGGGAAGATTCCACCTTTAAACATTTTACAAATTTATCAACAGAAGAAAAGCAGCTGAAATTGAGGTTAATAGGGAGAAACAAAACTTGAAAGGTGAAAAAGGGTTACCCAATTTCTGCCTTTTTCTTCCCACGGATTTACTTTTGTCAGGTGAGTTGGGACATATTAAATCCACCTGTAAAGAGGACATACCAATATTTTAGACCGTAAATCCATTACAATATGTTACACAATTTCTAAAGAAACACAATTACCTTCTCATCATCCAACCAATTTGGAATAGCAGGAGCATCAGGCGTAATGTAATCAGGGGTGCTGGTACCCAAATAAACAAACCAATTAGAATCATTGCAAAACGCAGAGAAACAATGAACCAAAACTGGCTAAATCTAACGCATTGAGGCTTTACCAGAAGAAATCCTGGCTCAGAATGAAATCTTTCTCATCGACACCAGCATCAGAGACGGTGACTGCGCCGGCGCCGACGGATGACGTCGAGGGCAAAATCGACTGCGCCAGAGGTAACTGAGATTTAACCCCCGGCGCAGGACACACTTCTTCGTCCCGAACGGTTCGGAACCCAGCGGATTCGGGAGCAGAAAGGTCAGCTGGAGGCTGCTGCGGAAGTGAAAAGAAGGGCGTTTGAGCTCCGGCTCCGACCTTCAAGTGCCTGTTCAAGGAACTCTTGGCGCTTCTTTTCTTGCTCCTAAGGCTGCCTCTCTTTGAGGTCTTCCCCTGCATCCTCTTATTCAGGAAGATTTTCCCAGTCGCCTTGCTTCATACAATCCCCGGCGAGCTTCCACAATCTTCGTCCGCTCAGAAATCTGTCAGTGTAGATACGAAGTACTCCGTATATATGATGGGTGGGAGGGAGATGAGGTGTCTGCGTTGGGCAGCGTAAAGTATTTTCAAAAATTCGCGGGGTTGCTAAATGCTCATTGAAGAGAGAGACGAGAGTTGTAAACTACACTCGGGTGTAGCCTATGTTCAAGGCCAATTGGCCTGGATATTATTAAAAATAGGATAAAAGACAAAAAAGTGAAACGTTTTTAAAAATTCTAAAAATGTGACCAACATCAAATTAGCTCCTGCAATCCAAAGTGACTCCGGCCAAAGTGACTCCAGTCAAGTGACTGTCCACCGGCCATAATGACTGCCCCTCCGTCACAGTGACTGCCCCGCCGGCCACAGTGACTGCCCCACCGCCACAGTGACTGCCCACCGCAACAGTGATTGCCCCACCGCCACAGTGACTACCCCACCGCCACAGTGACTGCCTCGCCGGCCACAGTGACTGCCCCACCGCCACAGTGACTTCCCCACCGCCACAGTGACTGCCCCGCCGGCCACAGTGACTGCCCCACCGCCACAATGACTCCGACGTCATAGTGACTACCCATCCACCCTCCATAGTGACTCCGGTCACTGTAATTGCCCACCCGCCAGCTACCGTGAATGCCCTACCCGTACACAATCGCCGTCCATGTCACATCCACTACCGCCACTCCGGCCACATCCACCGCTGCCATCCCGTCCGGGCCAACGAAATTCCAAACATTAATGTTGACATTGCATTGATTCGACCAAACAGTCTGATCTGATAACAACATTGCGACGGTCTTAAGATGTTTCCTTTGAATTGAAATTTGCAGGTCTGATCTATTTAAATCTAATCTTATTTGGTTTGAATTTGTTTGGTTTGGTCTGGTAAACGTCTGGTTTCTGTGTATTTCATAACTGTCCAAGTCTAATCTGATCTGGTCTGTTAAAGTCTGGTTTAGCCTGATCTGATTTGTTTAAGTCTGGTCTAATATGATCAGGGATGGTCTGTTTAAGTCTGGTTCGGGACTAAAAACAGTCCAAAAGAAAACATCCTTAAGAAGCAGAAAATCACACATTCAAAATTCATCCCAGTAAAAATATCGACATTTAATATTGAATGGATACTATAAGAGTGAAACTAGAAAGCCCGACAAAAAAACACACTGCATTGACTCATAGTTTTCTACTACCTACGCCCCATATCTTTGTCTCACTTTACTTTTTTCGTGTGTCTCACTAAGTTTATCGCATACTAGTATTATATTTGGTGATATTTAGGTGATTACAATTCATTCTAACTTTATTAAGATGTTTTCAATTTAATATCTACCATACATTTTACTTTTCTTAATAAATGTACCACTCTCTTGTCCCAATAGATCTTCTATTTGAGGTATCCACAATGTATAGTTGATAGCGGTGATCATGATCATTGTTTTGATAGGTTAAGTTTGACTCCTCAATGATCATTTATACCTTCTAAATAATTTTGGTTTTCCTTTTAAGAAAAATCATAGCATCCTTTTGAAACACGGGCAATACCATTGCGTACGAGATGGTCGAAAAGGATAGGGTAGACACCTTGTTGGGGAACTCAATCAAATTCCAATACAACTTGTTGGGGAACTAAAGGATAACTTACGAGCTTATGTGTGAGAGAAATACTTTTATTATTTTCAAGAATAGAAAAAAAACATACAAGCTCTAGCAAAAACACTCAAAAAATATCTCACAACTCTCTCAAGGATACTACATAATTCTTCTTGATTGTGTTGTGACGGAGTGCGTGAAGGAGTTTGGAGAAAGTTATGAGGAATGCGTGAAGGAGTTTGGAGAAAGTTTTAATGGTGAGAAAAATGACTCCTAGGCGTGAAAAGGCATCAATTGTCACTAAGATGTTGAGGAAGTTTACAAATTGAATTCCTTAAAATACTGAAGATAATCAGAACTCAGAGGCTGAAGCCCACATTGAAGTTGCTTCTGTAAACAATTAGCAGGCTTGATTCAGCCATGAATCACCCAAACTTCATTTGGCCCTTTAATAGCACGTCTAAATTCATTAGTTTAGGCACTCAAAATAAGTTTTTTCTGTTCCTCTGTATAAGTTTTGTCTCCATTCTTTGAAGCTTTTATGTTGCACACATATTTCTTTCAAGTCTATAAATCAATTATGCTCGCTTTCTTATTCTTTCTTTAATTCTTATTCATTCCAACATTTATGACTACTATTTCAGTGTAAGACAAAAATAAATTAGTCTATCTAACATTTCAATTGGTGTATATACTCGAATCGCAGAGTTGGAATTGAAGTAACCAATCATATAAATCAACCACATGGACAATTTTATTTAGCGTGGATGATGTTATCAAAAGGGGAAGGAGAGTTTTGACGCACAGTATTGTTGGGTGACTGATAATTAATTCATAGGGATAAAGGTCAGATAGGGCTTCGAACTTGAAAAAAAATGTCAAATAAGGCTATATTTAGGATGTTCTGTCCGGCCGACGCCATTTGGGGCGGTTCCCGGTGGTATTTTTTGATGAAATTTTTTCAGAATCTTATTCATTAAGTGTAGTTTATTCATATCAAATTTGAACTAAAACTTTAATCGGGAAGACATTCAAATGAAAATTTGAAGATAACTGTGCAGTTAAAAGCGCAGTTATATTCAAAAATTCATTTGAATGCTTTCCCGATTGAATTGTTAGTTCAAATTTGATATGAGTAAACTAGACTTTATGAATAAGATTCTCAAAAAAATTCATCAAAAAATTCCACCGGGAACCACCCCAAATGGCGTCATCCGGACATAACATCCTAAATACAGTTCGTATACCGTGGTATCACCCCACGGTGAGCACCGTGCTCCCACACCCAAAACGACGTAGTTTTGCACATTTTTTTTAAAAAAATTCGCGTGAACAGTAACGCGTGAACAGTAACGCATGAACAGTAACTGTTTTTTTGTCCCAGTAACATGAACGATGTAACTCGCGTGTAAATTAATGTAACTCATGTTATTGATCGATGTAATTCAAGTCCAGTCGAAATGTAACTTGTCAAATACATAGTATAAGAAATAAAAACATTGATTTCAACGTTAACAATGAAAAAAAGAGTCTAATTGCTCATTACTTTACATAAATAGTGAATATTTTTGTTTTTAATATCAAAGACATAAAGATTATTTGGAAAAAAAATGTTGTTTCAGTAGCAGAGGTTATCTATGATGTAACTCGTGTTAGGCTAAATGTAACTTGTGTTGATAGAAAATGTAACTTACATGTATGCAAAATGTAACTTACACTGATATAACTCACTTATAAAATGATGTAACTTGCGCATAAAATGATGTAACTCACGCATAAAAAGATGTAACTCGGACACAAGAAGATGTAATTTCTTATATTATCAAATCTAACTTTAGGCAAATTCTGATGTAAGTACATGTATTTTCAAATGTAATTTAAACCAAATCAATTTATAAATTGTCTAAACTCCCCTTCGTATAAGTATAACTGTATAATATATAAAATGAAATCAAAGCAAAAACAAGTTGCTTTCAAGGCTTCTGCAAAAACGATCATCTCTTTTATGCTGAGGTTATGGGCTTCTCCATAAATCATCTCTTCGATCATCTCTTTTATTCATCTCCAGCATCTTGATCATCATCTAATCCATCAACAAAGCAGTCAATGGTTCTATTAGATGTTAATCGATGCTCCAGTTCCATGTTTCTCTTTGATTTGTGATTTGATACTCTTTTGATCTCAGGCAGAAGATGAATGAACTGATGCTCTGTTTTTATTTTGCTGTGATCGATCGATTGATGAAGTCGGCGTTGTTTATAATTAACAAAGCGATGTCGTTTTGGGATCGGCACACCGTGAGCATGGTGGGCCGATCCCACGGTATAATTTGCGTCCTAAATATGGCCTTGTTTGACATTTTTTCCAAGTTCGAGGCCCTATCTGACCCTTATCCCTTAATTCATATCTCAGACAACAATTCAAGGAAATGTTTGTTTTCTATACATTTTTGTAGTCTGACTTAGGGATGACAATTGTGACCGAACTGGTGGATACCCGCACCGAACCGCCCCGGTCAAAACGGGGAAAACCGCATTGATCGGGTAACGGGTACGGGGCGGGGAATACCCGTTTTGTTTTTACGGGTAATGGGGCGGTTATGGTTTTATACATGCCCGCCCCGTTACCCGCCCCAATTATTTTTAGTTATATTTTTATTACATTTTTTATCTATTATTTGTCCCATAACTATTAAAAGATGATATTTTTCTCTTTCCATTATGTATATATAGATTATAGATGTACTAACTATAATGTATGAATGAAAGTTCTTCATAGATTTTAATAGTCATGTTTGATTATTATCATTTTTTTCATGATTAATTATTTTTTAGATTTAGGTATTTTTAGGTCCAAATTAATTTAAGTTCCTTTTTTTTCTCATCTTTTAGATATACGAATATTTAAAGTGGTGTTTGAAGTCTAGATTCGTCTAGACAATGCCATTTTTCGCCTTTTATAATATTATTTTTATATAAAAAAATAATGACTCATTTCATAAAGTGGTTACCCGCGGTTACCCGAAATTTTGCCCGTTACTCGTTGGGGCGGTTATGGTTTGAGTAAAAATTACCCATTGGGTAATGGGGCGGTTACGGGGCGGGGAAATTATCCAACGGGACAGGTACGGTTATATGGAAAACCGCCCCCGATCCACCCTGTTGCCATCCCAGTCTGACTCTTTTGTGATTTCACTTTGTAAGGTTCCCAATATGCACTGGTTTACACATATAATCACCTACATCAAAACAACGCTTGCTTCTAAGGGACGACGCCCATTGTTCAACGACTAGCACTAAGCTGAAGTCTTTTACAACTGAAGGACACCAAACTTTTGTGTATGCCTCCTAACTCCTAAGTCCTAGCATTTGAATTATTGTAAATTGTATTATCAAAAAACAACCGTAAATAGCATTAATCTCCAAGATTACAACCAAAACTATTACTTCCTATTAGGGGTGGACATATTGATTGGGTTTAACCGAATCGAACCGTACAGCCGTACCCGT